CTGTCCCTCAACCCTTGCTACTCTAAGATAAACCAGACACCCCCAACATCCTGACATGCTCTCTGGGCTGGGCAGAGCTCTCTACTCCATAGCAGGGCTGCCCTCTCCCCTCTGCTTGCTGGCTGCAGAGCATTTGCCTGGCTTCTCCCTGCTAAGCTTCTCCCCTCTGCCTTATGCAGACACCTCAGCATTAGCTAGCAGACCATATGCTGGGTACAGTCTGTGCTGTGGGAGAGGACAGAGGCAGACAGGCTTTTTAGAGCTAATCAACAGGTAGCTTAACATACTTCCTTGGAAGAAGAGCTCCATTAGCTAATGGAGAGAGACTTTGTTTTCTTCATGAGTTGATAAACACTGATTTATAAGTGATAAACATTCCCTCCTGGGCAATTCAGGACTGGGGGAATAATCAGTGTCCTGCTGGGGTCTGGCCATGTCCCCTTCAGCTATGCCCTGTGGAAGCAAAGGGAGGGCTGCTCTAGCTCTCCCTGGCTTGTAGCCTGAGCCACTGGACGCATGTGCCTACATTTCTGGGATGTCTGTCTGGGTTACAAACTGATTTAGCCTAGCCACGTTAGACTAAGCTGCAAAGATTGAATCAATTCAGACTTACTTGGGCCTTTTTGAATGTCTGTCCTTAGACAAGGCCACACAGGATGTCTATGGCTGAACAGGGAGTTTGAACACAGGTTTTCCTTTTGCAAGGACCCTTCCTTGAAGTTAAGCTGACAAGAACATGGTGCAGTTCTTCCCTTAAAATGCTTATCTCAGGATTTAATCAGGTTTTTGTGATGTGATGCTGAACAGTTTCTCCTGTTTGAGTCCTGGCCACATCACATCCATTTGTTGAAGATGGACTGGATGATGACCCAAACACCTGCTTCTTCCAAAAGGACCAGTGCCAACCGTAACTCTTTACAGGCCAAATGGTGGATCTTGCAAAAAAACAACAAACCAGAAAACCCCCAAATCTCTAAGTAGAAATGAGTTGTTTGCAGATGAGTTGAGAGGATCTTGAAGGGGGAAGTATACTGTACAAGTATAGTAATCCTGATGACTAGTGAACATGCCTTTTCACAAGGAAAAAGGTAATTGTCCAGTGGATCCATAGAGATATGCATACATCAACCCTGTCCCAAACTATATTTCACTCACTCACAGTTCTGTATTACCTAGGGAGTTACAGAGCCCATGGACACATTCTTTCATCCTATCCTAGCCCATTCTACAGTGCTCGGGGTCTTCTACACATGGTGAGGAGGGACACAGTATGCCTCCATAAAAAGTCAGAAGCAGCTCTGGAAAGGCAAATCTCTCCTCATTCAGCAAACCAGTATGATTTGAATCATGTCACTTTGCTCTTCCATGCACCAAAATGATCAAAAACATTTGCTATCAAATTATTATACTCTAGAACAGAGGTGCCAAAAATGCAGCCAGATGCCAAAGATGCACACAGAGCTGTGTCATCTGGCTCAGGGCTCCACACAGGTCCAAAAATCTGGTGGTGGAATCTGTTTAATTGCCAAGACTGCCAAAGATGTAGCAATTAACAGTGCCACTACCTGTTCTGCTGCCAAATTTCTAGATCTGTGGGTAGTCCCCCAGGCTGGATCTGGAGCCATGTCATCTAGTTCACAGGGTTGCCTGTGGGTCAGGAATATGGCAGGTGGATGAACCACATCGGTTAACACTGTAGCTTCCAAATTTCCAACCCTCTGGGCCAGATACATAACTCTGTGCTCTGAATCTGGACCCTGGACTGGCCCACAAGCCCAGATGAGTTTAACACCTCTGTTCTATATCATATGAAAGCATGAATTAAGGGTGAAGTGGAAATAAAGTGACAACATGGATAACAATTTGAAAGACTGGAGACAAAAAAAAAAAAAGAAATGAGGGATGTGCCTTTTAGTTCCATTCATAGAAATTAAAGATAGAAATAGAATCTGTTCCATCCCTTGACTAGCTCAATGTTGTCTTTGGTGTGTTGAAATCCATCAGAATGAATGTACGTTTTGTTAGATGAATTACAGACAAGCAAGAAATTATTTAAGCTATAGCTACTGAGCTTTCTAAGAAAAAAGGGTATGCATTCCTATGCTGTGAATAGTCATTTATCTACAGACCCCTATCATTTGTGTGAGTAGTGGCACAGAAATATCTGTTCCGAAGTCTTACAATCAAATATAGAAAAGTTTTTCAATTGAAGTGTTTAGATTTTAAATGCTGGAGAGATTTGTCTTCAGCTGGACTTTAACAGATAAAATGGGCCATCAAAATACAATATCACTGAGCCAGTGGTCCAACTACCACTATGTTTCTTGTTTGTTTCCCAGTCTTGTGCAGTAATAGTGTAGCTTCTTGTGTATAAATGAGAGAACAAGGGGATGTGTGTGTATGTGTATGGCCTCAGAAATGCTGTAATTAGAGTTGGGATTTTGAGACCGTTTCCTCCAGCAGCAGAACCACTGTAAAAAGCATGAAACTGCTTCATGTCTTTGATCTAGTTCAGTGGAAATCAGCTGAAGAAAAATCTTAAGGACAGAAATGAACTGGTCATCACTGCCCTTGTTTTTCAGGCAAGCAAGAGCACTGGGGGCTGGGGCGGCATGCTAAGGCACACATTTGACAACCCAGAGGTTGCAAGTTCACAGCGTGGCCTGTCAGATTCCAGTGAATCTGTGAATTCTGCTGAATACCCTGTCAAGGACAGGAAAAAAGGAAAGGAATTACAGAGCCCAAAACACTGTTGTGTATTTCCATACAGCACTTCACTACCCAGTGAGGGGAAAGACCTCTTTAAATTCTAGTATCCGTAACTGGAGAAATGAAATGGAAAATAGGAAGAGGAGAAAGGAAGGAAACCATAAAGTAAACTTTCAGTGATAGCTGAGATCAGGCCAAAGTAAGTGACAGATTGTCTGGGAAAGAACTGCTTGCTTGCCCTGTGGCACAGATTCACTAAACAATTTTTTCTCTGGTTCCGTTATCTGTGATGTGCAGGGGGGGAGAGACATGTGCCATGAACCTGATTTTCCATTTTATTAGCTTACCAGCAATCTTAATGCAGAAGGAAGTGAGAAAGATCTACCCTCAGTTGAAGAACTACAGGGTTATCAAGCAGAAGTGTTATATTAACAATCCTGGTTATGTCACATATATAACTTGATGGAACACACCTAGATCCTCCTTATTGGTCTATGTTTATAGTCTCCTCTCTCATCCAGGATCTGTCTGTGTACGTGAGATGAAATGCAAGAGGCAGACAGAAAGATAGGGTCAGAGGCATTTCTAACAGAGATGCCAAACTGTCAAATAATAAATTAGGAAGAAGCCTCCTGATGACTTCACTTCAGCAGGGAGACTCCCTTTTGTGACTATGTGTGGTATCTACTGGTTATTTTCTCTCCCATCAGAGCTGTCTGATATGGTCAAATAGTTTTGAGGCTTTTGCATTCAATTTTCCCTTCACTTATTGTGGCTGTTTTATTTATCTGACTTTCTCTGTCGTCTTCAGGGATACACATTATGTCCTTCTTTCTCTTTGGAACACTTTCATATTCACTTTTGAACACTCAATCCCAGAGTTTGGGGGGGCAGGAGGGGGGAGGGAGAAAGAAAAAAGAAAATTCTATAGCTTCAGGGACAAAAAAAATAAATACATTCAATTTAGAAAGACCTCTAATCTCTTGTTATACAGAACAGCTTTGTTAGATAAGATTAAAAATTTCATGAATGTCCCTTTTTATCCCCAGAGACCCCACAATTTGTACTAGCTATTGTCAGCAGCGGCAGGGCTTGATAACAGCTGGCTAGAGACATGACCACACAACAACACAACAGTAAGAACTAGGCAGCCGGGTTCATAAATCTTTAAAAAACCTATTCCCTCAGCAGAGCCATGAATATCTCATTGTCACAACCAAAGGGAAAATACATTGTCTTCTAGCCAGCCCAGAACTGAACTTCAGCACTATCAAGAGCCCCAGTAGAAAACACTGGGTGCACATTGAGATGCTTTCTGTTGATTTCACTGCCTTTTTTTTGTTGTTGCTTTAATTTATTGTACATGGATGTGGGTTTTTTTTAATATGCTTTGGATTTTCCAAGAATCTGTTGCTTTTCCTTCCCTTTTAAATGAAGCACACAGTATTGTAATCCATCTTATTTAGTTATGTTTATATAGTTCCAGTTATGATAGAGGGGTATTTTTTTAAGCCCACAGTGGACCAGTTTCTGATGTTAGGTAGCACATTGCTTAATAGGTAGTCTCACCAAAGTGAGAACTGCGCCTTCTGGGAGTAAAACTGATTTCAAAGGGACTGCTTAGGAACAAAGCAAATGAATTAGCATGACAAAACCTGGTCCAAGTTCTTGAGATGCAGGCATGCCAGATTTCATTAATTTGGGCCAAATTCAAATGTTGGGCCTAATTCTGCACCATGCCTCCCTCCCCAGCAGTAGGATAACTGTCTCAGCTTCAGGGGAAGCCGAATCAGTCCCAAGAAAATATATAGTGGTCCCATAAGAGAATACACAAGGTGAGTTGTAAGAGCTAGTGCAATAACTCCACTTAATGTTGGAAGATGAAAGGAGGGAGTTGCTGTCGAGCCAAAACTAACACTTCCAAGGCCGTATGCATATTGTGTTCTACAAAGGTCAGAAATGAGCCCAAAATATGTGGGTTTGGCTGCAGGCATACTGTAACATCAGAATATTTGTACCCTGTGTTGTTACCTCAGAGGCTCCAATTTTAGTGGAGCCAAATCCAAGAACAGGCTTGTTACAGTAGAATAAAACCTCATTGTGCTATACAAAATAACAAAAATGCCTTATGTGTGCGCACACATCCAAGTCTTTTCTCCAAAGAAGTTTAATTCCTGGAAGTACTCATGAATCACAAAGCCTATTAATTATGAAAGCTACAATTAAAATACATGGACCTCATTTAAAAATAAGATATGGCTAATATTTAATTTTGTTTTCTTTCTTGGCAGCTCCGTCTCCGATTGCTTTGATACAAGCTAAGGAAATAACAAGGCATAGTGTTGCATTGGCGTGGCTGGAACCTGACAGGCCAAATGGAGTCATTTTGGAATATGAGGTCAAATACTATGAGAAGGTATTATTCAAAAAGGACAAATGAGGGTTTTTTTTCCATTATAGTTATTGCCATATAGGATCCCATTATCAGGGCCAAATGAGTTTAGTTTTGTTATCGTATCCAATTAGGGATTTTATATACTTGAACAGTTGTACTGAATAATAGCCTACACTCTACCCTAGCTGTATATTTGGGGGTTTTTTCTTTCTTCCTAGGAACAAAACTTTTACAGCCAGCATATTTATAATGAGAATAAATATAGCAGAGAAGTAGTGAGACATTAGCCTTACAACAAAAATAGAAGTGTAATAATGAAGTATATAACACTGTAATAATAAGATCTGTTTAAGTTGATAGCTTCTGCTTAGAGTGATGGTGTGGGTTGAAAGCTTTTAATAGAAAATAAGAAAAGGAAAATTACATTCTTCATCCTCTCCAAGTTACAGGGAGATGTTATTTCCACAAATAACTTGTCTCTTCTCAAGTACAAAGCTATGAAAAGAGCCATTTGCTTTCAAGGTTGTCTGCAAAATGAACAATTACTTTCTCTCTCAGTAATCTCTTATTTGCCTCCTTCATAAAGCCAGAAAAAAAGCAACTGATTTTCATTGAAACTAGTTTGCACTTTCTGACAAAATTTTCAGCCAGAAAATAAGAATAGACTTTTAAGACAAGGAATTTCTGGCAGATGTGTCCCAAGGGTTTCTTGGATAGGTAGCTACTGGTTGGTTGGAAAAAGAGAGAAAGAAAAAAAAATGTTATTTGTTCATCAGCAGGCTTGTGAGATCACAGATCTAACTACTTTCCAAAGTATTTCACTATTAAATTTAAATTTCTTAAATAATCACTGATACCTAAACACCAGATCTACATCTCTACCATCTTTTGTGGCTTTCCCCAAAATCTCTTTCAAAACCCTGTACTAATTAAGCATAACAACAAAAACCGCACAAGGATATTTTGAAAGTTCCATTGCCATAAGGTGTCTCCTCAAAATAGATGTAACAGTGAGTTAGGGATCCAGGATTCATCATGCAGTGAGGCATTTTATGTGTTTTGTTGCTGTTAGGACCAAAATGAGCGCAGCTATCGCATTGTGAAAACAGCTACTAGGAACACAGACATCAAAGGCCTGAACCCTTTGACTTCATATGTGTTCCATGTTCGGGCCAGGACAGCAGCAGGATATGGGGACTTCAGCGGACCATTTGAATTCACCACTAACACAGGTAATAACATGGCCATTGCTGGCAGAAGGCTGTCAGGACAAATAATCCTCTCTCCCTCTCTCTCTCTTTCTCGCTCTTGTCATTTTTTTTCCAAAAGACTGAATTTGTTTGAGCTGCTTCCTGAAGTTGCAATTCTTTCGCTTCTGTGAATTGAACATCTGTATTGAGCATTTGGACAGCAGTACAACTTAAAAACATGGCTGTTGACTGCCATTTTTACTGTTGCTTCTCTAATTCTCTTTAATTCTGACTTGATAAACTTGATAGCTACTTGGATATGCTGCATACTTGCATACAAGATGCTTACAAATTCTTAATGAAAAATTATTGATATATGGGAACAGGTATACTCAATAAATACTCTGAGGCCTGTTTTTCCATTGACTCAAGAGGGATTTTTATCTCCAATGTCCTCAAAATATAAATCTCATGTAGAAGTGAATAAATCCCTATTCTGTTTTTGTAAAGTATCAACATCATTTGGTGAGGATTTCCATGCATTTTTTTTCTTTTGCAGAGAGGTATGTTTGGATTATTCCATCTGTGGGTAGGTTCTCTCTTCTTAAAGTCAAAGTAAAAGATCCATTGCCTACAAAAATATGACTGAAGTGATTGCTTCCCAAGACAGTACCAGAAGAGAATATGACTAGACCTGTTTCTTTAACTTCTGTCATACCAGTCTGGATATATCAGTTCAGGTCATGTCATTCTTTGTTAACAACACTTGGGCGTGGCTTGAAAAACTTAAAATGTGCAATCCACCAGGAAGAAGGAAGATGTTTTAAAACAGTTTGTTCTGTCTATATCCATGATGAAATAAGCATCTGATTCATTTTTTAAATATTTAAGTGGGAAGCAAATCGGTGGGCAATAAAATAGTCATTATGCCCTCTGACTAAGCATTGAGGGGCAAAGGAGTGGGAGTCCTTGCTCTGTAGGAGTCCAGGTTCCCCAAATCATCATTGAACATAATGCCTTTAACTAATTGGGGCCTTCTTTGAAAATTGTGTCAAATGAATACATAGTGAAGGCTGGAGAGTTGCTTTGTCTAATTCTCTAAACTGCCTAAGCAAATCAGGAAGAAACACTGAGTGCTACCCAGGATGATTTTCTACTGTAGGTGGCTGTCTCATAGCTGCTTAACACTAATGAATATCTTTGCTGTTTCTAGTTCCTTCCCCCATCATTGGCGATGGTACCAGTCCCACAGTTCTTCTGGTCTCAGTGGCTGGCAGTGTTGTTCTTGTAGTCATTCTCATTGCTGCCTTTGTCATCAGCAGGAGGTAAGAACTTAAGCTTCTCTCCCCCTCTCCCTCTTTCATGAGGGAGCTTTTTGTCTCCTCCAAACAAAGCTGAATTCTTTGATTAGCATCATAAACAGTGCATTTGCATCATAAGACCTCTTCCCTGTAGCTTTGATCTTCTCAACATTAGTACCACAGCAGCATGTAATGTAATGGTAATAGTTCCAGCATTATTTGTCCTTCAGATGCAAAACTGATTCCAATACCTGAGGTTGAGAGGCCAGCCAACTGAAGATCTGTAGACATTGTAATCTAATGTTGAGTTAAATGAATAGGAGGTCAATGAATCTTCTCGGATTGGGGAAAAGGGTAGTGTAATGGTGCAGTAAACTGCAGGGGGAACCACAGAAGATCTTGCTTATGATTTTTTGTTTAGCCCTCAGATTAGTTCTTCTGTTGTGGGGAGAAAAGACACTAAAAAAGAAGCAACAACTAGTTACTCCATATTATGAGTATAGGGGGAGTAATGTAGCAGGAAACATAATCAAAACAGTTTTGGCCCTGTGTTTCAGGGAGCATTCCTATTTCAAAATAGATCAGCCTGACTGTGTTTTCTCTCACTATTAACCTGCAAGAAAGCTGCAAGTACCATTGCCACACATCAAAACAGGAGAAAGAATGCAAGCTGTGCCACTCTCCATAGTAGTGTTTGATTGCATCAGCCATAAATGGGCACAACTTCCTCTTCATTTACTTTTTCACTTTAAATCATCTTAGAAAAGAGCAGTTAAATCAGTGTGATTATAATATCTGGTAAGTAGTCATGCATTGTAATGGCTTTCTGTGGGTGTTCAGCTCAAAGCATCCGTGCTGGCAAGAAGAAAGAGGAAAAGAACATATGAAAATGTAATGCAGAGAGACAGGTTTATTAAAAGCTATTGCAACAAAAAATAGCATCATGGAGCTTGATGACTTAATCTCCTCTCTGCTTTTATTGATCATTTTATTATTTAAGGCAGGATTGATAGCAGGAAACATGGGATTTCTAATTATGAGTCGCCACCTTGGAGAATTGAGCCTGTCGAGTTGCTCTGACATGATTCCTTTCCCTCCTCCCCCAATAAAAAAAATGTCACTTCCCAAGGCTGATAAACACTGCTTGGTGATTGGCCCTCAATGGATCACTTTTTAGAAAATGAAATGTCAACCCCTTGCCCTCATATTGATTCTCTTTAGTATTGGCCATAAAGCTGTCAAAGGAAAGGCTGCCTGGAGCCAGGTAGCTGACAGACTCACTGATGCTGTGTACTCAGCCAATTCTTCTCCCCACTCAGTCTGTCTGCTTAGTTATCTCTGCATAGAAGTGCTTAAATTGGACAAAGAGCAGATAAAGAGCAAGCTGGTAGTAAGGAGGAAAGGCTAGCCTAAGTTAGGTGGCAGTGGGTTCAAAGATGTCCCCAGCAGGCTTCAGAGACACTGTGGAAGGGGACATAGCAAAATAAATGAAATATTAAGACAGTAAGATCTGTGGTGATTCTTTGCAGATAGTTCTGTGAATACCAGTTGTGCACTGCCTGACTCACTATGTAGATTCCAATAACTGGAAATATCATTAAAAGAACTCAGTTTGTAATAGTGGGTGCCTTAATAAGACATCTGAGCTGTAATCCACACTAGAAATTGAATGTTGGAACTGTTATTTTATAATTTGGATTAATTAATAAATAAGGTTATTTTTTTGTTTTTGTTTTGTTTGTTTGTGATTTTTCCAGACTAGTACAAGCCAGTTTAGATGTCGGTAGACAACATTCTTTGGGTAAATCCGATATTTTTTATTAAACCAACTGAGATAGTTGGAAAAATTCTTTGCAAGCTTTTGGGTGCAAACACCCTTTGTCAGGCTGAGGAAGTGCCTGCAGTTGGTCTATCCTCTTCCTGGAATAGTAAAGAAGTTAGAGGCCAGTATGCATGCAAGAAAGCCAGTCAGTGAAGATGTAAATTGAGGTAGTCAGTGGGTGAGAGGGAGGGAAGCGGGGATGAATATAGATCGTAAATAGTAGAGAGGTTACCTGGGGAGTTAGATGTTAGGCAGGTTATAATGTATCATAAATCCAATGTCTATATTTCATAGACCCATAGAAAATTAGGGTTGGAAGGGACCTTAGGAGGTCATCTAGTCCAACCCCCTGCTCAAAGCAGGACCATTCCCAACTAGATCATCCCAGCCAAAGCTTAGTCTAGTTGGGTTTTGAAACCCACCAAGGATGGAGCTTCCACCACCTCTCTGGGTAACCTGTTCCAGTGTTTTACTACCCTCCTGGTGAGAAAATTCTTTCTAATATCTAACCTAAACTTCCCTTACTGCAACTTGAGACCTTGCTCCTTGTTCTGTCATCTGCCACCACTGAGAACAGTCTATCAGTCAGCAGTTCACAAACTGTGGTATGTGTACCACCAGTGGTATTCAGATAACCTGTGAGTGGTACGCGGAAGGCTGAGGGGAGGGGCGGGGCATGCACACACGCAGACACCCAGTCTAGCCTGCTGCAGGCAGTCAAGAATGCAGCCCGGCCATGTGTGCAGCAGTGCCTAGCACATAAGTGTGTTGCGGGGAATGGGGGGAAGAGAGG